CACTAGAGAAGGTAAATGAAGTGCTGGGTGGTTCTCTGCATTCCAGAGAGGTAAGACGGTGCACACACGTTTCAAAGCACGGAAATAAATTGAGATGACTGGACAAAGCGGGCCTCAACCCCAGTGGAAGGCACTAAAGCGTCAGGTTGCCACATCTCAGGGACCAAAAAATTAGATCATCTCTGACATCTCCCAGGGAGAAGATTGCCATGGAAACCATCGATGTGTGAGCCTCTAAAGTGATAGTTGGGGTCAACCAAACTGCCATTAATTACAGTTTCACGTAAACCTCAGCATGACTTTGGCAGTGAGGTCTGGGTCAGACAATGCTGACAAGCATTCTTCCCATGCTTCTTGGTTTCTATTTCACTTTTTTAAAAATTTATTTGTGTATACAGAACTGGGGTACAGGCCAGCGGTGCAGGGTGGTGAGAGGATTCACCAGGGACAGAATGGGGAGCAGAACAGGCAGATCGATGAAGTCCACTGCTGAGGGGAGCAGCGGGCGGGTCAGGAGAGATCTGCCGCTCCCTGTGGTCACCTCCGGGGCAGGCGGGGATTGAACTCGTGCTGAAGTGGCTTTAGCTTCTCAGTGCTGCGCTGTAACCCGCTGCGCCACCAGGGAGGGCCTTATTCTCTTTTTTAAAATCAGAGTGACATTCTTTCTCTTCATGTTTTAGCCTTACACTACCAACACTGTTTTAGCCACAGATCTGAAAACAGATGCCGCATGTGAAGGGGACCCCGCTCAGCCTGATGAGCTGCTGTGGCCACCTCGCCATGAGGAGTGTCCCCAGCCAGCAGGTTTCATCCAGATGCCTGGCTCCGTGAGGCTCAGGCCTGCCCCTTTACCTGGGTTCTTCCCCTCAGCCTCAAGAAAGCCAGCTAGAGCCTCCCCTTTCAAATGGGGACAAGATTATGCATTTTTGGCTTCTGACTCCAATTGTGGTTCCGGCTTCAAGGCCGAAGACCTTGCCTATGTCCCAGAGGCACCAGGGACTCACTAGGTGAAAAGGCACCGAGTATGTCATCATCTGTCTCCTTTAAACAACGCCATTGATTTTATGAGAGTCTCTCTTTCCTATTTTTCCAGCAACTTCTGAATGGTCTCAGTTGCCTTTCGAAAAAAGACTGCTGGACCCACCCAGACCAGGCTGATGGCTCATTCTTTTTTGTCATCAATTATGAATGAGGTACCTGTACTGGGAAGAGCGTGTTAGATAGCAGCTCAGACTTTGTATCCCTGAAACGAAGCCCCAGGATGAGGGTGTCTGGCCACATCAGAGGCCCAGGCTGGCACAGCGGCCAGCAGATTTCTGTTGGGGTGTCCGGGACCCCTTGCCCCATTACTCAACGACTAAGATGGCACCTGGCCTTTAGCCAGTGCGGTTGAGCTGGTGAAAAACAAAATACGTCAACATCCACCTGTATAAGGAAGTTAAATCTTATTGGATATGCTCTTGTGTGATCAGTGTATGCTCTTTGTGTGTTCTGCTCAATTATGGTTGCTGTTGAGGGGTAGAATAAAGGTTCTACAAGAAGATATATCGTGGCGTCTTTCTGCTGGCAGAGAGTGCGTCACAAGTGGTGCCGAAACCCGGGAACTTCTCGCAAAAGTTGTAAGTAGTAACAGGTAAGGGCAGCCCTAACGTTCGCGGTTTAGCGACTATCCGGACACATGAAAGGTGGTCCAGTTAATTGCATCTAGGGACACGCGAAAGGTGGTCCAATTTCAGTAAAAACTAAGGACACGCGAAAAGCGGTCAAATAGAACTGACAGTACAAAAACAAAAGGGGACTGATTTTCTGTGTAGTGATGGGGTCTGAACTATCTAGATTACGCATGGAAACCCCCGAGGGATTTATTAAAGGCTAACGGAACACCTTTAAAAGGCACTTCAGCAAGGTTTTTAAAAACCGTGGAGGACGTAGCCCCCTAGTTCTTGGAGGAGGGTTTGCTAAATGTCCCACAGTGGGTACATTTAGGGGAGGACTTACAAAAGGCTAATGGTAAGACTCCCCTGCCTGCAGGGGCCTTGGCCATATGGGCCCTTGTCAAAACTCGTTTAACTTCGACCAAAGAGAAATTCAGATCTTCCTTGGATGAGGGAAGTATAATTTTAGAGGAAGTTAAAGAACAACGTTCACAGTCCCATCCAGCTGATGATTCAGATGATGAATCGGAAGAGGGACTCACAGGAGAAGAGCTAGAGGGAGAGTAAAAACCCTGAATATCAAGGTAGCCGTGATGACCTCAGCGCCACCCCCCGCCTACAAGCCCAGCTGCACAACCCCTTGTCCCTGCATGCAACACAGTGAATTCTCCAGGTGGGAAGACATGGGGGGGCAGAAGGGGTTCTTACTTCCCTCTGGTTGAGGATCCACAAACTCAGGAAAGGTATCACCAGCGTCTAGATTTTAAATTAGTTAAACAGTTAAAGGAGGCAGTATGAGCCTAGGGCCCACCATTTCAGTGGTTGAGTCAGTAGGAGGACTCAATTTGGCCCCTCGTGATTGGGAAAATGTGGCCAGAGCCACCCTCTCGGTGGCCAATACTTGATGTGGAAAACCACTTGGCAGGAGCTTTGTTTCGATACCGCTAGGAGAAATGCAGATGCAGGCAATCCAGGGTGGAATCTAGACATGATGATGGGACATGGAAGAAAGTTCCTTTAATCTGGTTACTGATCGTTTATACCTTGTCAATTCGGTATCAGTTTTGGAGACTGTACCCTTTACTTCCCCAGATTCCACAGTGGCACCCTATTCTGTTACATTGCAAAATTTGACATTACAGCGTCACCACCCCTTTTTTATTGGACACATTAGAGTTCATACCGCTCTCCCTGGACCACTGACAGAGGGCAACACCTTGGCAGACCTTGCCACCCGTTCTACGCTCATCCTTCTAACCAAGAACAGGCCCAGGCTTTTCATGATAAATTCCATGTCAATTCGACCACCCTAAGCAGACGCTTTCAAATACCCAAAATCATAGCTCGACAAATAGTCAAGGCCTGCCAACATTGTGCACCTCTTATCCCCGTTCCGTCACTAGGAGTAAACCCCCGAGGATTGTTACACAACCACGTGTGGCAAATGGATGTCACCCACATCCCAGAATTCGGAAACCTTAAATATGTACATGTTTCAATCGATACCTTT